TATAAGTCACTTAAATAAACAGTATTAAAAAATCTACTACACCAATAATCACACGTATATGGTAACACAGATTTTTTTTCATTTGTTTATAAGCACTAGTAAAGTACATTATAAATGCATTACAATTTAATCAAATATTAGACTAGTGAGTAATGTACATTCCACTTAAACTAATAAATAAACAAAGGAAACTAAGAATTCACTCACTGGCAATTTTCTTATTATCTATTAAGGCGAAGACATTTTTATTATGTGTTCTTTTTTTTTCAGTGTCACTGGCACTATTTAGTTTAATCATACACTAATACTACATTAGTTTAATCTGTAGAATTTAAAAGACAATAGTAATAAAATCAGACCCTTTCTATTTGCCATATCTTACATGCCCACAATAAAAAAAAAATCATAAATAAATTTCATTTTATAATTTGAGTTAATAAAGAAATTGAGTAACATATTATTATCATGATTTGGAAGCCCTAAAGCTAAAACTATGGACACAGAGTCGAAACGTGCGTGAAGGTCGGCTATAAGCTTAATGTTCTCTGTTTTTACAGGTGGCATAACATCATTTTCGCCCATGATCAACAATGGCATGCATGTCATAATGTATACATACTACTTGTTGTCGGCAGAGGGAACCCCAAGGATGAAAGCAATATTAAGAAAGTATAAGATGTGGATCACAGTTATCCAGATTGTAAGTACATTTCGACGATCCCCGGTTGCAAAACAGTTTTCATAGTGCCGCCAATTCTGAGTTCCCGGGTTCGATACCCGGCTAGATCAATGTATAAAACTAACTTTTCTAAATTGTGTCGGGTCTGGATGTTTGTGGTACCGTCGTTGTTTCCGATTTCCATAATATATACACATTTTAGTATAATTCATAAATAAATGTGACAATCACATCAATACCTGGTCTTAAACTAGGGAATTCTTTGTACTGTAAATTAAGTCCAGCGAATCTGTAAATTAAGTAAACTGGGTTAGTAACCCGTGATTTATACAAAGTGTTTTTTTTTAAATGGGACAGTATGGGGTAATCCGAAACCACAGAAGATACAAGGAAACTGTCTTAGGAACCATTAAGTCATTTTTTGTGAAAACTATTTTGTACAAATCAAGTTCTTAGGTTTTCGCGATTGTTACACATAGGAAATGAAACTATTTTTCCGGATTTAAATCGCGTATATTTGTTTTTTCAAACAAACCGACGTTTCGGGCCCTTTACAGGTCCCATGGTCACGGTTGACCAACCGTAAAATAAAAATAGTTTCATTTCTTATATTTTGTACAAAGTTGGTCAAATTTAATAAAATGTAATTCATTTTGTACGAAAAAAACTTTTTATTAAATTTGATCAACTTCTGCTGTCCCGATTTTTTTTTCTCATACAATAAAATCATAGTTATAAGAAAATGAGTCCATTAGCGTTTAAAAATATAGTCAATTTTGTTCATTTTGTACGAAAAATATTTTATGAAATTTGCCCAACTTCGCCTGTCCCGATTTTTTCGTCCCATACATTGAAATTGACCCCTCTATGAAACTGAGTCGACTAGCAGTAAAAAAAAATTATGATTAATTTTATTTTATTTTTATAGACTACTCACGTAAAATTTATTATGCCAAAATTGTTTTCACAAAGACTTAGTCGTTCCTAATACAGTTTCCTTGTATCTTATATGGTATTCGATTTCATAATACAGCCCCATTAAAAAAAAACACTGTATAAAGCAAACCTTTGGGCTGGAGAGGGCTCAATTGGCACCCTAATAAAGCCACATGTGGTGATACATCCAAAGAGCTTATATTACATGAAATTCATAAAAGAACACGAACTACATGAATAAAATTACATGTATGTGAAATTTTATAACTCTTATTCAAGCATAAAAAGTTATATAGCAGCAGTAGAGCTCCTTGTGAAAGAGTACATCAAGGAAATACTGCCAAAGTGGCAATTAGTGCAGTAGCAACAGTGATTCGTCACTTGATATCATAAAAAAAATCCTGGTATTTATTTTCAATAATTATTTAAAACCTCGGTGGCTCAACACACTGTCTGGGCTACATGAAGCAAATTCCTCGACTTCAATTCACAGTAGAACCAATTGTTATATTTTGATAGCATTTATTATACCATTTCGTACTATGTATGTATTATTCTTTTAGTTTGAAGAATTCTTCAAAAATCGTTCTAGATGTAGCATTATGTTTTTTGTTACTCTGGTAACTATAGGACAAGGTATTCCCTAGTTTGAATCTACATAATTGGTGTGATTGTCTGACATACCTATTTATAGTAAAAATTGCAATTTCAGATTCAAATAACACTTATGATAATCTACAGTTCCCAAGTGTTTCTTCCAAGTTGTCCTGCGCCCTTGGGCATCACATTCCTGTACTTTCCAAGTGTTATATTTGTATACTACATGTTTTATGACTTCTTTAGAAATAACTATATGAAGAAAGATAAATCAGATTTAAATGGCAATAGAATTAAGAAAAATGTTTAGGGAAAACTCATTGACTTATTGTAAGTCAATGGGAAAACTTTTGTTAAACTTAGTAATTAATTTAATGTACGTCATAATTGTGTGCATTCCTTAATTTTGTGTATGGCATAGATTACTGTTAAAAACACTTTACTTTTTCTCATATATGCGTTTCCTGAAAACTGTAGGAGCGTTATTAAAGACCAGTCCACAACCAGAGGGCATAAAAACTGTCAGAACCAGGAGAGTCCTTTAGTTCTTAAATGCTGTTGGTGTTGGTTCTGAACTGTAATTAGTGGTGATTACAATAGCTCACTTCACAGTTGCAGTGATGAGGGGCCTCATGGGCCTTGAATGAAACCACTCTAATAATATTAAAGACTAGATTTAAAAAAACATTTTTTTAAACAAATGTGTAACATTGTTTGTCACATTGTCACACATTGGTTAACATCAGGTAAGATTGTAAGCAAGCATGATTGTATTTTAATTAGAAAATCAATTAAGGGCTACATGTCAGTGTTAAACATTGTACCAAATAGCTCATCAGCAAAGAACACAAAAGCTCATCCTCTATGTAAACTTATGTCTCTCTATGTCTTACTTTGCAGAAATCTATGTTAATAAAAATGGAAGAACGTTGATAACCGTTAGCCGATGACTTTGATATGTATGTACAAACTTGTACGTTTTTTTAATTAAAACAGGAATTATAATTAAAAAGATTTATAAGTATTTATGATTATCTGTCTTATAACAAGTACCGCAGTAATATTCTGAGTGTTTTCTTGACATATTGTTTTTCTGATGGGACTGACTGTTTAATTGTCCTAAATAAATAAACAGTTAAAAAATAACACGTAAATGTGATGGCTGTTTAACAATAAATTTGCAATGTAAATGAATAATAATTTAAAATTACATTCTCATCAATGGTTTTTTTTTTAAAAAGAAAAGAATACATGACTGAGCCTTCATTAGCTTCACAAAGTAGCAAATAAATTTATGTCAGTTGTCTTTTTTATGAAATAGATATAATAGAACAATCCATAGTGATTGACAGTAAACAGCTGGCATTGACACGTGTTACGGACTATAACACAAGCTTTAGTACAATTTTATTAGCCTGTTATCTATCACGGTCAATAATATTACAGTATTCATAAAGTAACATTAATGAATTGTGATTATAAAACCTTCAAATTTAAAATACACATGTTTTAAATAAATATAAACAATTAAGAACCATTGACAATTGTTTTGTTGGCCTTTGTTTGCAGAACCTTGGAATAGCGAAGATGTTCGCTCGAAAAACACCTTGGCACTGACATTACAGATCCTATTAGATTAGTTTTCAAACAAGTTTACAAACTTATTTTTTTTACAGTAACAACCATATTAGTATTAATAAGTGGACTTGTAATATCAGATAAATTATCTAGCACTTCATTTAGGTAATCTCTGTGTTATGATCAACACAATATATATAAATAATACAAGTCGATAGTTCGGTAGTAGTACCAAAGGCCGCTTGCATATTTATGTGATGAAACACATTTAAATTATGTTTTAAGATTAGATACGCATGTCTGTCACATCTTAGAGTAATTTATAAAGTAATATCGGCGTGAAAATGGGATTTACTGCATTAAAAAGGCTATAAATTGAAACGTCACTTACCGTATAGTAGGATAGCAGCCCTGCATTGTCGTCTAGCACGAACCACCGGTACTGCCAGCCCTTCATCACATTCGTCCATTTACTTAAAGAACCCTCCATCATGATTGTTGAACAAAAAATTAAATTATATCCAAAAAGACATGAAAATAAATACGTAGAATTTACACTGCGGCAAAGACGTTCCACCATAAATAATCCATATGTTTGACATTTTGCGACCGGTGTTGCCAGTAAAGAGAAATGGTAAATACGATTTTTAAATCGATTAACTACCAAAAAGTTATATCGATATCAGAACATAGTTTTCCTTTTTGATTAGTTTTTGATTCCTATACAATTCCTTCTAATTGAAATATCTCAAAATAATTTTCGTTTATTAGACGTAGATAATCTAATTATTTTACCCATAAATAACCAATTAGATATTGATTTGGAACTTATTTCCAATGTTCGCGAAGATGTACTTATCAGAACGTTTGTTTATTGTTAATGAGCATCGACCAATGAAGATCCTATAGGTGGTAACGCTTTACCACGTTGAAACGAGAGCGTTATAACGCGTGCAATGTGGTATGTCGCTGTCACCTTGCAAATTTTTTTGACTTACGTATACCTATTTGAATGCTCTAAATAATATTACAATGAATAATTCGAATAAACACTCTGAACGAAGTTCTAATATAGTACACATTCTAACGTAGTACATATTCTAACAAGTTCGAACATAGAACGTTCAATAAATTATCTGTTGCACTAACGGAAACTTTATTATACTTTAACATGGGGTAAACGAAAATGCACGTATGTAAAAAAAGGTACTTTAATATTGTACAAAAGATTATCACTTTCACAATTTAACGACCAAATACGCAACATCACGCCATTTTAATTTAGTAATACTACCCTACTACTATTTACAAGGATCAGTCGCCTGTTGGCGTACAAATTTCACAACGTCAATGTCGTCTTAATGATCTACCCAGTTTTGCTTTACTATATCCTGATGATATTGACACTTGATTGCTGTTTTCTTGGTCTAAGCTAAGACCTGATAAGTCTATTAAAAATGGCACGTGTTCTGAAGATTCTGCGTTCTTATCATCTCTGTTGTCAAAGTCCTCTGGGGTGCCTTCCCCTTCAATGGCTAATTTCTCGATGTCCTTGCTAAGAGAGTTGTTTTCAGCGGCTTCAACGAATGCGTCGGATAGATCGCCGTTGAGTTTGTTAACGTTGCCGGAAGAAATATCGTACATAAATATTTCTCTGTCTTCATCATTGTCGTCCCTGAAATTAAAAATGATGCAGTGTTTACTAATTGTTTTTGTTAATCATTTTAGATACGTCTTCTTATTTTGGTTAAAAAGTTTCTTTGCAATGAAAAAGTGGACATATTATTAATCTACGGTATTCTATATCAGACTACAAATATTAATCCCGTAAATGAGATTAAGATTCTGTATTTAATAAAATAAATAAATTTTGTAATTTAAAAGGAAAATAAAATGAATAATAAAAGTATTTCAGTAAAAGAAAGTTCAAAATTGTCACTTTTGCCATTTTTAAAAGAAAGAAATTGAAAGCTTACCCAGTGACGAGTAGAACAACAGTTTGCAAATCGGTAGCAGTCTTCTTTTCTGTATCTAACCATTTTTTATAGTTTTCTTTCGTTGGCTTTTTCAATAAATCTTGTAGACTGTCTCCGGCAATGAATTTGATGCCTTTTAAGCTAATGCTTGCTGCTCTCTCTTCTCTGTTATGTTCGCCATTTAATACTTCAGTTTCTACAGGAGCTAAAACAACTACTGATGTTATTTTTCTTCCTTTTAGAATTTCTGGCAAGGGAAATTGGTTCCCGCTTACTTTTAACGGCAAGTATCTATTGTATTTTTTATCATTTAGCGCTACTGGATCAACTCGTGTCGCATCGTCTTCAACGTATTCTTTTGCTATATTTTGTCCTTCAGCAGTTTTTGGGTCAAAGTGGACTACTTTCATCTCAACAGCCTGTTTTTGTGGATTAGCTACGTAACTCGGGATATTTTCAGATGCAGCGATTTCTTGATCATCTTCTTCATCATCAATTCTTGATTGGATACGATCGCCTTCAGGTGATACAACAACAGGTCTGTTTTCACTTGCAGCTAGTTGCTGACCGCCTCCTGCACTAAAGAAGTTAGCCAGCTGATCTGGAGGTAGTGAATCCAAAGGAGTGTCTCCAACTTTGTCGTAGTCTAAAATACTAATGTCAGCGTTATCCAGGATACCTGAAGAAAGTAATTGTTGGCGAAGATCATCAGGAACTTCGTCTGGAAGTTCAATGGTTGGCTGTTTCTTTTTGTCTGCCTTCTTCAGCTCTGGTGTTGAGTTGATGGAGTTCAAAGTAGATGATGAGTATTTTTGAGTGGTTGGATTAATCTCAACAGTTCTAGAAGTAGATTGATAGTATGGTGGGGAAGATGTGCTGCTTACATAAGAAGGTTGCTTAGATCTTTCCTGTGTGTACGATCTAGGAGAAGTAGCTTGTATTTGTTGGTTGTAGCTAAATTTTGATGAATGTTTGTAAATCTGTTGCTGTTCTTGTTGTTGGTGTTGTTGCTGGGCTAGCAATAACTGACTCTGAAGTCTTTGAATCTCTTCTTGTTGTTTTTTAACGTTTTGAGCCAGTTGGAAACGTACCTGTTCTTGTTCAGGGTCAAGAAACTGCTGTTGTTGTTGTACTTGTTGGGATTGCAACTGTTGTTGAGGTCGTTGTTGATGCTGTTGATTTTGCTGGTTTTGTTGATGCTGCTGATTTTGCTGGTGTTGTTGATGCTGCTGATTTTGCTGGTATTGTTGATATTGTTGTTCAGAGTGGCTTTCGGTTGGAGTGGGTTCACTAAATCCGCTGTAGTTAGGTTGAGCTGTTGGGTTAGACACAGTGATATGTTGCTCATATTTGGGAATGGAAGGTACTAGTTCTCCTCCATTTGGAACAAACTGGCCAACATTTTGCTGATGGAATTGGTTTTGCACATTGATTGGAGTTCTTTCGGAAGGTCCTTGAGATTGGTGATTTAGTGGTCTTTCTGATGGGCCATGCGGGCGTAAAAATTGTGGCCTCTCCGACGACTGGAAAGAAAATTGTTGTTCCGGCGTTGGTGATGGCTGAGGATGGAAATTAAATAAAGTAGGAGCAGAAGGTTGTGGTAGGAACTGGGTCTGAGGAATAGCTGAAGGCGATGGTGATGCCTCAACGTGTCCTAAGAATGAGTTTTGCCCGGACGTGTGGGGTTGTTCTGGAGTTGGTCTTGGTCCTGGATGAAAGCTGAATGGTGGTTGTTGAGGTGGCTGAGCTTGATGTTGTTGGAAAACATGACGATTGTCGTCGATGTGGGGTGGCGAGGGTTTAAGGTTGAAGAAAGGTGGTCGACTTGGACCGAGGCCGAGAGAGAAGGAGGGTTTATTCTGGGCGGAATCAGTAAAATGTTGATGTGGTCTCTGTTGTGGGAGCTGCTGGCTGAACGGAACGATTTGAGGACGGTTTGTATCTTCCTTGAAATGAGTTGGATTTGGACTTGGGTTTGGTCGGGGGCCAAGATTGAAAGTTTGACGCTGTCTATTTGGCAATAATTGTTCTTTCACAGGATCTACTTGATCAGTTGTTATGGTGTGGTAATTTTCTTGCAGATACTTAGGTTCATCAAAATATTGAGGTGACTGGGGCTGCTGGAAAGGTCTTTGAGGTCCAGAGTGGAAACCTGGGCGAGGAGGTCCATTTAAATTAGAGTTAGGACCAAATGATGGAGGATTACTCGGACGGACGTGGAATGACGGGCCATTACTAGGTCTTGGAAAAGCATTAGAAAAAGGTGGGCCGACAGGTCCTGGGACTGTAGGTGCACTGTTGGGAAAATGCTGGGTAGGGATTTGTGAAAGCGAAAGTCCAAATGGATTTTGCCGAGGTATGTGTGACTGACCTCTGAAAGGTGAAACTGAGGGTCCTTGTCTTGGAAGTTGTTGCTCGTTACCAAGATATGGCGGTTGGAACTGAATGCGACTTTGAGCGTGCTGTGGCACTAGTCTATAAGTTTGTTGAGTAGGATGGACAGAAGGGATCCTAGGAGTTTCTTGATGTCTGGGTTGGTGTTGTTGTGGTTGGGGTTGTAGATGGGGATGGGATTGAGGTTGCTGGTGAGATTGCTGGCGAGGTTGCTGTTGAGGCTGAGGTTGAGAAGAAGCTGATCGTTCTAATGGCGGATGATTCGCTGCTTGCTGTGGATAGGCAATGGCGGGCTTTGGAGCCGATTCTTCGTGATCTTCTGAATGCAAATTACTTTCTCGTCTATCACTGTTGTAATGGTGTCCATCGTTTCCAAAGCTAATTTTAACATTGCTGTCACTATGATAAATTTCAGATTCAGGTTTAATGATTGCTCTCAATGTCGTTGTTTGCTGCGGAGCATAATACGGTTCAGGAGTTACTGTGACATAATCATTATGGTGGTCATCATGATCTTCATGGTTAGATGGTGGGGTGACGGCAGGAATTGGTTTCTCATAAACAACTTTATCTTTGTTGTGGGGATCTTTGCTGTACTTCACGTAGAAAACATGAACTGGTTCCTTTTTCTTTTTCTGGAGCGGGGGAGGTGGTGGCGCTGGGAGAGATTCGTTAGATTCTTTTATGATGATTTCGATAATAGGTTCAGGAGCTTCGTAATAGTGTGGAGGTGGTTCGTGGCTGTATAAAGGCGCAGTAGGCAAAGATCCATAAGTTGGACCATATGTGTATGCAGCTTGTTGGTCGGTTGGTGGTTGGTGTAGATTCAGGATTTTGGGTTGAGCATATAGTTCGTTCTGGTTCACAAAAGCATCGTCTAAATTATCCAGATTTGGATCATAGAGGGGATCTTTTTGAGAATACTGGACTACTGGTTCCATCTGCACGGCATAAGGAGGTAAATTCGATATTCTGCGTTCGCTAGTCAAAGATCTGAACTGAGTAACTCTTGAGTGGGGAAGAACTAAGGAATATTGAAGATTTTCCGGCGATCTTATAGATTCCAACTGTCGTTTCGGTTTCGTTTTCGCTGTCGAGTTCTTGGCGCATGATACACTGAGCACAGCCAGAGCTGTGACCTGAAACAATAGAAAAAATCTCCTGTTAACATAAAAAAATTAGACATCGATATTATTTAATCGAACATTTTTTTCCGGTGGCAAGAACAGAATTGAAATTTCCATTTTCGCGAGAAAATATCAACAAAGCGGCAGTTTTTAAAATAAGATGACAGATTCCGCTCGTGTTGTAGAAAACAAATCTTACAAGCATCGAAAGGGAACAAATTACAACTAAGTACGTAACAATAAGTAGTTATAAATGTTGCTAGAAACGACATTGATTCGATGGATTGCTCATTTAGAAGAATAGATGTTAGTGGTTGACGGCACATATTTTTCGAATCTGGAAGACAACGTGGAATTAGGAAACCCTCGGCGCACATGTTTCGATCAGATTGAGAATGTTCTTAGGTTAAAAGTATCAAGAATAAATATGTACCTATGTGCGAAAAGACTGATGCGTTCGAAAGAAGTTTGGCAGGAGTGTAACGAGTGGAGTTTCATTGTGTCTAAGGTCTAATTATCCCGTTGGGAGTCAATATATATCGGAAGTTTTGATTTTTACTAAGAATTTAAAATTAAACTTGTGATATAAAATAACGCAATAAATTTTAACTAAAAGTAAAATTTCATATCACTATTTAGTTCCAATCTATTGATTACTATAGTTTTTGTTAATTTTTTATAGATTGTTATTTATGTTTATGTACACGTTAACTTTGTGAGAGTCGATTCAACGGCACATTGTCCTAAAAACCCGGTTGAAGTTTACGTTTTGTTTTTTTTTTGTATTTTTTTTTGCTGTTGCAATACTCGTAGGTTTTTTGTATGACCTAATTTATTTCTATCTAGCAGCAATGTCTGCACGTAAAAATATTTCTTACGTAAAGAAATATTTTTACGTGAGATTGCTTGTAAGTCTATTAATGACTATATTTTAGTACTCTACATTTAAAACACTTTATGGCTCAAACGCGGTCCATGCTGTCATTATATAAACAAAAAGAAATTCACGAGAACTTTTTTTACTAACTATTAAACAAAAAATGATGTATTTGAAGGCTTTAAGTACATTTGAAAGGTTTTCAAATAAGGACATAACACTTTTGTATTTCAATAAACACAGAAAAATTGAGATATCGAGTTTAAATTTATTCCAAGAATTCCATCCTTAAATGTAACAACATTTAAGAATGGAATTTGTTCTAGTTCATACAACCACTGTGAGCAAGCTTGCAGCGGTCACACAGCTGGTCAAACAATCCATCTGTTGAAGAGGAAGTTCGATAACCGTGTAATCTCGCGAAATGTTTCAGTCGAATGGCCACCTCCCTCATGCGATCTAACGCCGTTTGCTAAATTACTTTTTATGGGGCTACGCTAAGGCGTTGGTTTATGCCAACAACGTTAAATGAGCTTAGGAACAATATCAAACGCGAAATTGCCAACGTTTCGGTTTATGTGTGGAAGAGTTGTGGAAAATTGGCTCCAAAAAATTTTACGCTGCTAACGTGCTCGCTGTGGTCACATGAACGAGATCGAATTCTATTCTTAAATGTGACACGTGTATTGTATGCACCTGGAATAAATTAATTATTTGGTTTTGTGAAAACACAAAATTGTTAGTATTGTAAAACTCGATGTATTTCATAATTATTATTTTGTTGATTTTTGTGTTAACCTCAAATAAAACGTTAAATAAAATAGTGTCAAATAAAAAAATATACATGTGGTTTTTGAATAATATTATTTAAGTTCTCGAAAAGTACAGTATTAAATAACATCAGATACTTGTTAAGGTTCATTGTGACAAGAACATAATAAATTGTCCGAAAACCTTGCAAAGTTTCATTTGTTAGTACTTAATGGAAATAATAGCGAAATAAGCCACTGGGAAGTATTATTTTTATTTTGCCCAAAATTGTTTTTTAGAGGGAATACATTGTAACGACGTATTTAAATTAAAATTTATTTTCACGAAAATCAATAGTTTAGAAGTTATGATTTTTTAAATGTATTTTTTTAATTTTTTTTTTAATTTGATACTTTAGTCACTGGCACTTGTTACTCTGAGCTTTTAGTCGCAAAAAACACGAAGGGCATACATTGCCACCGCACCCGTCGCCCTGGGACATAAAGTCAAAACCAGAACACAGTAATAATGCTTATATTAATGCTAGGTGACAGTAATAAGTACTTTCAGAAGGAATTCTACTACTAACTACAAGCACTGCTGAATTCGAGCCAAAGTGACAATACCTAATTAAGTTTTATTGGCCAAGTCGTGTGTTTTGAAAAATTTGCGTCTTCAAGTGACGTAATAGAGCCTGATGTTAAACAAAAATTTATATAAGGACTTTTCGAGAAAACAACTGAACAATAGGTGTAAAGTGGTAAGAAATGTCGACTTACAGACATGTTAACGTAATATTATACATATCTACAGTGCTGTGGAGAAAGTGCCTTAGCGAGAAGCGTCTTGTTTACTCAGTTTGGGACGTTTTGTTCCGCTTCGAGGTGTCGGAGACGAGATTTTTGATGCTTTGATCTTTATTTATAAATAAAACATGTGTATTTTACAACTGCTGTTTTATTGTTATTGCAAGTCTTTGTTACGAATAATTATATAACATTTAACAAGGAGTGTCACGTTGCTCGAAAGCTTGACTCCTGGTACAAAGCGATCCTCGAACGGCAACCTTGGGGTGATAAACACCCCAGGGGGAGATCGCAGTTGCGGTGCATACACCGATATTATTGAAAACTGCTAGGAAGAAGAAGAATATATAACATTTAGTCAACCGGTTTCTACAACAAAAAGGAATTCCCTGTAGAGAATCAGTTAAATTAATAACAGGGGGTCTACTCTTGGTGATAACAGGGGGTCTACTCCTGTACTCTGTCCGATATCCGTCCGTAACAATTACTATCAAATAATACTCGACCAAATTAAAAAACAAAGACAAGTAAAAGAGAACAAAAAAAGGCACCTGGATCAGAATCAATTTATAAAAGTTAATTTCTCGCTTATTCTACTGGAATCGATCGTTCTTTCTCGTTTAGCGCCCATAATTCTAACAGCGCCATCGAGATCGACGATTTTATTATTATGCATAGTAATAATATATAATAAATGATAATATTATAATAAGCTTTATTTATCACTTACAACAGTACAGGTTACTATATATAACTTATTCAATTTCTATTTGTTAGTACGGTTAGTATTGTCTTAATGTACAGTTAGTAGTGTTATGTGTAAGGGTCGCTTTTAGCGGTGAAAGCTTTTTAAACTGCCTCTGTGGCCGAATGGTTACCATGCCGGACTGCCATGCAGAGGTCCCAGGTTCGATTCCCGGGTCGGGAGAAATATTTGTATGGCCTACATTTATTTCTCTCGTGAGTTTGGGTGTAATTTGTGGTTGTCTACGTGTGTATCCATGGCACCCGCGACACAGGGTATCCCTAGTGCGGGGCTATGTTGAGTGTGTACGTTATTAAAAAAAAAAGCCTCCTCCATCTTGTTCCAACAGACTCCGTTCTGTGCCAGTCTTGGCCATAGTGTTCCTGCTACCTCTACGATATCATCACTCCGCCTCTTTGATGGCCTGACTCGTCTCCTTTTCTTATAAATCGGATACCAGTTAGTGACTATCTGTGACCACCTGTCTGAGGGTCTATGTTTCTTTGAATATGACTAGCCCATTTCCACTTTAGTGATAACATAGGTAAGTTTTTTTTGTATATAATAGACACACGCTTAGCCACAATCTTATCTGATGTTAAGCGACGATGTGACCGACGATGGCACGAGTTTGCCTAAAAAATGCCTATTCACTCTAGCCTTGAATAGCCCCAAATTGTACTTTTCGGGAAATATAGATGTAGAGCATTCCAATCCTTTGCCGTACGCATCAGAAAGGAGGAGGCAAAGCGCTTAGTTCTAGCATCAAATGTGATAGGAGCGTGACTAAAAATTCCGACACGTACGATCTACATTTGCTCTTATTGGAATGCCACGAAACTGGTTCCCAAAAGCTTCCTATCATGGCCTAAGGTACAATGGGTGGAAAATCAACGACATAAGAATGGAGTGCCGGAGACCTTCTAGTCGACTGAAGTTAAAAAGCACTGGAATTTTAACCATAATTATCACCGTCCGTTGCTCGATTTCACCAACAGCAGGATGTAAGCATCGCGTATATTTGTTTTTTCAAACAAACCAACGTTCCGAGCCCTTTACAAGTCCCATGGTCACGGGTGACTAAATAAACAAATGTACGTGATATAGATCCGAAAAAATAGTTTCATTACGTATGGTTCTGAGGCTTGAACACTCACATTTAAAGAAGAACGACAGTCCTATGAATGGTAGCTGGAGAGTTCGCACTAACGCCGAAATACAAGAGCTCGTCTCCTAGCGAAACATCATCGGCGAAACCAAAGCGCTTCCCTGACTCGGCCATTTAGAAAGGATGGGCGAGGATCGGAACGTGAAACGAGCCTATCTGGGTCCACCTACTGGACGAAGACCGGTTGGTGGTCTCAGGTATCGCTGGAGTGACGCCGTAGAGGTGGATCTGGATCCCGATTAAGAACTCTTCGATATTTTAACCGAATCGTGCGATTCAATATCGTTCTCAAATCGAAGGGCGCTTTCCGAGCTATTCAGAACATTGTGAGTTAAATGTTAGACTCGGATTCGGATACGATATCTTTATCCAACAGCATTTACAGAGTTAGTCGATGAAATAGATTATAAGAAAAATGAAAATCCTTTTATATGTATTTTTAAGACTTTAAAGGCCTAAAATATAGGAATTCATTAGTCTTGCATTAAAATAAATTAATAAAATTGAACGAAATCCTGACTTTATTTAAAATAATAAGAGATTAACATATTACATTCTTGCTTTGTAAACAATAGGACGTTCGGTAACTTTCAACCGATAACTATGTTTTGAATAACGTTTGTAGCCTTTGCCGGTCGAGAAGTTCGAGTAATCGTACGGGTGTGA